AATCTTGAATCTAACCATAATCACAAAAGTCTTCTATCTCGCTTTAGATCCCGCGAAAACGATTACCCTAACTTTTATACCGCATAAACATTAACAAACATCTATTCGACACTGTAATCACCTAATTATCACAAAGGCAACGAAACTTGTATGGAACAGTTGTCCAGAAAACCGGCTGAAAACACCGCAAGAGGTGGACTCGAGGGGGCGAAGCAACGCGGCAAGGAAAGACGAAGGGAATAAGGGAAAGTCGAAAGGGCGGTAGATAAAGGGAGAAGGGAAAATGGGGAAATGGAGAGGGTTGTGCCGAGAGGTCCGTGAGACGTATGACTCTCGAGGGAAATTTAGGTGCGACCTCCATGTATCACGGAACCTGCCGTAAGTAGGTACGTAACCGACGTACGTATACCGCATACGTGCGCGATCCTACACGTACGCTTGTACACGCGCGAAGATCGAGCGCAATTCACGCCTAAACTCAACGAGGACCGCACACCGATCGGGAAATCGGCGGTTGCTGTACGCAAACCCGATATTCGGGATTTACCTTGACGCGAGCCGTCGATTCGCATGCTGCATAGTCGGCGCATACGTCTTTGTTGCACCGCTGCTCTGCAATCTCATTAGGAGCCGATCAAGCAGATTAACTCCGCCCTGTTATCTGGGTCATTTTAATACCGTGACGATCGTACGGTATTTCTTCGCCTAATCGGGGATTTTTTGTAAGCAAAGGATTTCTTGCTGGCAAAGGGGGTAGTTTTATTTAGGATGAATTTTAGTGGCTTAGGAAACGAAGACGCGACTTCTAAACAGCAGTTAGATGCACTTAGTGTTAATTAACGATTAGTTCGAAAAATTTCGAACACTTAAAGTGCTTTCGAAGAATTCATCAGAGGCACAGAGTTCGTATAAAAAGCGATGGATGTACTCGCTCCTCATTGGATGTATTACTGTGTCCTTTTTTGCGAGATCAGCATTTTCTGATGCCATTCCAAGAAGCACGAGTCGAATAGTAATTCATTTCTACTTGTTTTACATTATTTTATATTATATTATTATATGTATTATATATTAATATATATATATAATATTATTAATATTATATTATTTATAATATATAATATATATATAATATTATATACTGTATATATATTATATTATTATATATTATAATATTATATTATATATTATTTTATATTATATAATGTATATATAATTTTATTTTATATTATATATTAATTTATATTCTGTTTTATATTTCGTGCATATCCATAGCGTAAAAAATGCACAGCGATTCAATCAGGTGATCGTAGAAGGGTGGTTAATGGATCGCGCACTAAATTATGAAGAAGAAAATTAAAATAGTATTTCCTCTCGAAAATTTTACAAGTTCGAAAGTTTTTACGGACATCGAAAAATTATATTCGTTACTGGAATAATCATAGGTTCGAAGTTTCCACTTTACAGCATCTGAAAACTTCGTGTATAATTTTCGTCGCAGTCTTATTGAACTTTCGACGAAAAGTGCGCCAGCATTAAAAGAACCAAATTAAACTAAGAACCGGGAAACGGTGGCCTGTGTTCCGACAGGCTATGATTCACGGTTAAATCTTTACGAAGAACACTGTAAAAAAAAAACCAGAAATATTTTCAAGAGAGCATTTTCAAGCTACGAAATCTAAACGTACGAAATAAATTAACAACACTTTCTATTTGTTATTATCTTGCGTCGCATTCGCGAAAATCAGTGCGCAGAAAATTCTGCTGAATTCATTCATGACTCCAACGTATCGTTAAATGATTAAGGGTAGTTCTGTGAACGTAAAAGCTACAAATACTCCGTAGAAAATTCAAAGTGAATTCGATGAGAAATTTTGGAACAAAAACTCGAACGATTTAAAAAATCGATATAAATATTTTAGTTAGTAAGCGTTAGGTTGCAAAATGTTACGTTACCAGGCGCAGTGTCTCCAGCGAGCAGTTGACCAAGTTCAAGAACTCGAACGTCCCCGGATAGCCTTCCGAACTAATTAGCCCAGTTCCAATGACAACTCCGTGGCCCGCAAAATACACTAATCTCTGAAGATTCAGTGGAAACTCAAGGCAGATGTAGCCGTTCTGAATCGATGAACAAGCANATATTATTATATGTATTATATATTAATATATATATATAATATTATTAATATTATATTATTTATAATATATAATATATATATAATATTATATACTGTATATATATTATATTATTATATATTATAATATTATATTATATATTATTTTATATTATATAATGTATATATAATTTTATTTTATATTATATATTAATTTATATTCTGTTTTATATTTCGTGCATATCCATAGCGTAAAAAATGCACAGCGATTCAATCAGGTGATCGTAGAAGGGTGGTTAATGGATCGCGCACTAAATTATGAAGAAGAAAATTAAAATAGTATTTCCTCTCGAAAATTTTACAAGTTCGAAAGTTTTTACGGACATCGAAAAATTATATTCGTTACTGGAATAATCATAGGTTCGAAGTTTCCACTTTACAGCATCTGAAAACTTCGTGTATAATTTTCGTCGCAGTCTTATTGAACTTTCGACGAAAAGTGCGCCAGCATTAAAAGAACCAAATTAAACTAAGAACCGGGAAACGGTGGCCTGTGTTCCGACAGGCTATGATTCACGGTTAAATCTTTACGAAGAACACTGTAAAAAAAAAACCAGAAATATTTTCAAGAGAGCATTTTCAAGCTACGAAATCTAAACGTACGAAATAAATTAACAACACTTTCTATTTGTTATTATCTTGCGTCGCATTCGCGAAAATCAGTGCGCAGAAAATTCTGCTGAATTCATTCATGACTCCAACGTATCGTTAAATGATTAAGGGTAGTTCTGTGAACGTAAAAGCTACAAATACTCCGTAGAAAATTCAAAGTGAATTCGATGAGAAATTTTGGAACAAAAACTCGAACGATTTAAAAAATCGATATAAATATTTTAGTTAGTAAGCGTTAGGTTGCAAAATGTTACGTTACCAGGCGCAGTGTCTCCAGCGAGCAGTTGACCAAGTTCAAGAACTCGAACGTCCCCGGATAGCCTTCCGAACTAATTAGCCCAGTTCCAATGACAACTCCGTGGCCCGCAAAATACACTAATCTCTGAAGATTCAGTGGAAACTCAAGGCAGATGTAGCCGTTCTGAATCGATGAACAAGCACACACACACACACACACACTCGCACGCACACAAACACACATTCGGCGAGAAGATGCGTCCCGTACAATCGTGTTTCCCGACGGACTTTTAATGCCGTTGATAAAAAGGATCACGGATCGTCGCATCCGTCGCCGGCTTCTCGTTTATTCCTATTGACAGGACGGGGAAAGGAAAACAGCCGGCCGACGTCATTTCCGAACCGAGGTAAAACTTCCCGTGGCTTTGAGCCTTTGACAAACGGCCGCCCGTAATTGGGTTCGTTTTATAAAGTTCCAACGAAACGTGGAGCTTTCTGCTATTAATTGGAGATGGTAAGCGGCCCGGTGCCACAGCGACGCCAGTGCAGACTCGGGATCGATGAGGGTGATTAATTTGATTCAATTACAAACCGGCAGCGGATTCGGGGCATCGATTTTATTACCATTTCTCTTGCCATCGGGATCTTCTGGTTCGACGTTCCAAAGAAAAGGACAAAAAGGACAGGTGCCGGCCAGAAGTTCACTTTATCGTTTCCCCCTTCTGGTTTGTTCGGGAATTCTATTCAACCCCGCACCCCCCCCCCCTTCGAAGGGGTTTTTCAAGAGTGCTCTTGATAGTCGCCGAGTGTACTCTCGTGCTTCTGACGCAGACGGATCTTAGTATTATTTCTAGGAAAAATAGAGCCACCCCAGGCAACATCGATTATGATCCAAACAGAAAATTCGAGCAATTATTAGAGCGTGGATTTTTATATGGAGGAGCAGAATTATCTGCATCGATTACACAGCAGCTAGTCACCAAGTTTTCTTCTACTTTTGACAATCTTAATAAGTTCAGAATATTCAGACATTCTGATATTCTGAAGATTTTCCTACTGTGTTCTGTATTTCTTCTTCTTGTTTTTGTTATAAATACATAAAATCCGCGCGGTCTAGTAATTATCTGTTATAGACACAGTTCACGAAACAGTTGCCCGAGCGAAGGATTTAAAAATGTAAAAAGGTTTGAAAATTTCTTCAATCAAAACAGAAATCATGTTACACCATTAAAAAGGCATTCTAATATAGTTTCCATTATATACTGAAACTATAAGATAACTGGACGTTATTCAATTTATATAATATTATTTGTATAAATACTATTAATTACTAATATTTATATAAATACTATTTTACATCTACAAATTCTCCATTCAATACTAATATGCAATTTTCTCTGAAACACTTTCTTATTAAACTATCAGAAACAACTTCAGTATCGTGGCGACTGATTCATAAACCACCCTGTACATCTATTTTTATGACACAATTATCAACAAAGAATTATTTATAAAAAGATACACATTCCTTAACTATAAACAGTCCCAAACTATATAAACAGCCCTAAATGTTCCAAATAGGACTGCTTAACAGTTTCTTAAAAAAGAAAAGAAAGATTACAACAACCACCTATTTACAACATCCTAAACCAGGCACAGCCCTGAATTAACAGTCTACATCCCCGTATCGAAACCCAAAGGGCTTATGTTTTCCCTGTATTCCGTGAGCACTGCGGAAGAGGTAAATTGAACTCCAAAGCAAACAGAGACCCGTCTGTAGCTGAACGTAAACAACAATCCCCTAATTGCTACTGAATACATCGAATGGGTACGGACGGGAAAGCGAACGGATGGCACCTTTAATTAATAATTAAACGAGCGGGAACGACGCCATCCGAGCGGATCGTAGACTATCATCTAGAATCTACCGGTCGTTCACCATCTAGAAGCGCAGGAAACCAAGCCAACACTCGCTTGTAAGAGAGAAAACACGAATTTTATTGGTGTATATGAATTATCAACTGAACAAGTTATCTTACTGTTAGTACGAAAGATTGCTTCTTAATTGTTAAAAAATATTTCTTCGCTAGAACGTTCACCTATATATCTTTCGTTTACACCTAGACGGATTAATCGGAATTTGAAATTCATAACCGCTACATGCTTTTAAACAGAGTTCAACAAGTACAACGCGCTTCGGTTCTCGACGTTCGCACCTTCTCGTTTCGTTCTTCCTTTTTTTTCTTTCTCGTTAGATACAATTCGATAATCTGACTAGGTCTCCCTCGCGAATCACCGGCGATCTGCGGGATCGCATTACTTTCTAACAAAAACTTGCTCTTCATCGACGCGGATCGGTACTCGTTTTTACTAGTTCCCTCTCGCGATACACTTCGTTTTACATTGTAAATATGTGGACTCTCCGTACCGTCGGACACACACGTCTGCGCGATGTTCAACCGCGTAAATTCCTTAACGCGGCTAAGCGAATAATACCACAAGCGTCGAACGTATCTCTCTATTCGGATAAATGTTTGGCCGGGACATAGTCGGATCTTTTGCAACACTTTACAAACGTCGTCTCTCGTTGAATGAGAAAACGAGCTACCCTCGAAAATTATATATTACTCTACTTAACATGGGAACGCGCGAGTTTCAACAATCAATTGGTAAAGTCGACTACGATTTTTAATCTATGTACAATCAATAAAAACGTTACTTCCCCCTATTACCACTGTAGGATGCGAGGTATCGGAAGACCGAGTGTAAGAGAGACAGGGAGTGTGTTAGAGAGACGGAGTGTATATAAGATATATATATAAAGAGAGTCTGAGTGAAAAAGGTGCAGAATGTGTGTGTGTGAGAGAGAAAAGGTATGAGGTGCGATACGTTTGAGTTAGTGTGAGCGAAGACACGTGGCTGAGCGGTGCGTTTGGGAAGCATGTGTCGTGTGTCTGAGGTGTCGCATGTTTCAATCCACCTGCGAAAGCTACGCGGCGTGCCCGAGAATCTATCTATGTATATAAGAGTGCCTTGCAGAATCAATTGTTTTGTTGTCGAGAATTATATCGCACTTATTTCACTAACGCGATCCCAGCTAGACTATAAAATCCTACACCACTTAAAACGATCGATTTCAATTCTTTTAGAACGGAAAATGCAACACGTATGTGCAACACCGGGATTCGGTAAATTATTACGATCACCGAAAACTAAATAAAAGATTAACCCCTAACACCTAAAAAGAGGCAATAACAAAATATCTCTATATTAGCTTAGATTAAAATCGTTGCACAACGTGCGACAACTTAGTGCTAAAATGTCTAAAGCAGCTTAGGTTTATCCACGTATTGCTTGCCATGGTGAATGATGGTAGTGAACGTACCGCCCACCATGGCAGCCCAGAATAGCATGTATAATAAAATTTCCGTGGTGTATCTTGAAGGGAGAATTATGTGAGCAACTAGCATCGATGATGCTACAAGGAGCACCAACGGGAACGTGACGTAACGCCAATTTCTTTCAGACTCCAAAGGACACTCAACCGACGTACACTCCCCGTCCTGGACAATGTAACGACCCAAGAATAAATCCAAGGAATCCTATAAAATTCGCCAAATAGAAATCATCCTTTCTCCTAAGCGAGCTCGCTAAAATTGCTCTATGTACCTGTCTATAACCATCGGTAAAGTTATTTTTGTAATATCTTGTCAAAGAATTTATACCGTCCTTCATGGCGCCCAATTTAGTACGTTTACCAGTACGCGTGAAGTCTGTCTTCAGTGCACCGGTACCCGAGTACTGAACGCTTATCACGTCTGCATTATCAGCCCAAATCTGTAAATAATACATTCAAGCTGCAAGTTACAATAGAAAGCGATGAACCCTCCATGGTATTAAGCGACTACTCTCCGGTTTCAATTTTATGCTGTACATTTCAAAAAGAATTCTCTAAGTTTCAGCCGTTAAGGAACTATAATTATTACCCGTTTGAAATGGTTCTCAACGCTAGGATGATCTTCGATTTTCCTAAGGATTTCTAACCTCGACAGTGCGTCATTGAGAACCTTTTTCGCTATCAAGCTTTGAACAACGTTAGTTCTATCGAGGCAGTCGATACAGTTTGTACGAAAAACGCCGTCTTGCGCAGCCAATAACGTTCCATCGGATAAGAGGAAGAAATAACCCATCTGTTCCAATTCAGGAGTCAATCTGTCGAGTAGAACATTTAATCGGTCCCATCTGAGCCGCCGGCATTCAGCATGAAAATCAAAACTTTCATAGTGAACGTTTTGATTATTAATTTGATGGACTATGTTCTGATACGCTTTTTCCAGCGAAGCTTCTGGACCATGATGATCAATCTATGTAACAAGTACTATTTATTTCGACCGCTAGCGTCGAGTAGAGAAATTGTTTTGCGAACGAAAACGATGACTTACCAAATTGATCAAGATCTGCTTGCCATAGTGGAATATTTGAGTTTCTAAATGCCGAGCACAAGCAGTTTGATGATCCTCGTGGTTGCTCAATTGTGGCTTAGGTTTGTATTTTAAATTCGGTGCCTGATACCAGAACAAAGGTATCGAGCCGCGTGTTTGTACAAAAGATATGCGATGTCCGTTGTATTCGATCAATTGTTCCGTTTCTACATAGTTAGAAACATTACCCGTAGAATCTATACCACGCGAGAATAGTCGTGTTCCTGCACGGTGTACGTTACGTCTAGACACGATGCCCAAATTAAACGATGTACTACCAGTAACAGTAATAGTGTTTAATGATACAACTATAGAAATGTTAAGAAAAATACAGATATCTATCTATATAGAAATACAAATATATATTCATATTTAAGGATACATCCATGTATAATTGGCAGGCAAAACTTGTACTGCTCTGGTCTAGAAGTTAGATCTTGCATAAGATAAGTGTTCCATACAAATCTAAGATCTGCTCTATCGTGAAGCGGCATCTACAGAATAGAAAAACAACGCGCATCCTTTACCAATTAAGAACAATCGCCAGATATTAACTGAATTAAGAATAGCTACCTCTAAGAACTCTGGTGGCGTATTATGAAGTCTTTGCATCGTATGACTGAGATCATATGTATAACTAAAATAGAAGTGCGGTGTGTTCAATACAGACTTGATCATTTCTAAATACGTGGAATTATTTTGCAATTGCTTTTCGCTCAGATGCAACGAAGACTTTGTGTACGGTATAACTTCTGTTGCAACTATTTTATAGATTTGGTGGCCTGCTATAGTTCCGATCTCCATAGCTTCTGTAATTATTATAAGATAACGACATGCTAGCAGCCTTATAGTTCCTATTATACCCCATATTTTCCTACGGCTCGCAGTCGATGGAATTTGACTGGCCGTACCAGCTGGAATGAAAAGGATTTTCTTTACAAAACCTAATAATTAACACTTGCCAAACAATAATTCCTAGCTAGAACAATAATTACCTTGAGTATAAATTTGCTGACTCACTCTATCGACTACAAGGAGCACTTTAGTTCCAACGGGCTCTACATAGAACTTCTCAGGCGTTACATATCTGGAAAAAGAGCATAAATTATGAATGGAGATAAGACAGCAGACTGTCTATGAACAAACTGAAATGATCATGTGGAACGCCTGTAAAGTGTACGAGATACTTACAAATACAGTTTATCGTACACGTCTGTGTATAACTTCATGATGCCACTCAAGAATCTTGACGACGTGTTATACAAGAATATAAACTTGCAAAAAACAAAATGTAATGACAGAGAGAAACTAAACTACAGTGTCCATAAAAATCGTAGAATGTACATACGTATGCTGTAGATCACGATGCGAACGTAGCTACGCATATGTCGTCAAACTGTCGTCAACTAAATATATGAATCGGCATGATCGAAATCTGTCAAAATCGGAGTAACCTCCGTGCAAATCGAATTTGCAATTTTCCTTCGCGGCACGACGTACTGTACTGTATTACACGGTGCTGCTACTGCACAAGTGCAGTAGATGTTCAACTCATAGATTCTATGCCAACCAATAGTCCATCAGCGCCCTCTCGAAGGCGCCATCTATGAAATAAATCCTATTGTATCGTCAACTGTTCTCGCTAATAACAATTGAATATTAATTGAACTTACCGGTAAAAAATGGCTCGTCAACGGTGTATGTAATGTGAGTAAGGAATCAATTCCGGTGATTTTAATTACAGTTTTATTTTTGAAAAATCGAAAACACAGACTTAGGATTCGTACAATATATAATATAATTAATATTGTACGCTATAATTGTGTTGACTGCTGAAAGAATTAACACGAGAATATTATAAACAAATTGTATAAAGCTACATTACCGATTCAGTAAAAAATACTGTGATGTGATCTCGTCATCCGGCAATGATGTTTTAAATTTAGCAACCTCGGGTACATAGTTTTCTGTGTTGCAGTCAGACATAGTTCATCGATTGACCGTTCCATTTAAAAAGAGGTCGCTTTCTGCGCTATAGATAATTCACTTGATTTAATAGCAAGAATGAACTATACTTCGACTAGCAGGATTTCTATACTTCCTCTTTTTATTCCATACCTATTCTATATACAATTCTATGTAATATATTAAATATAATTTAATGAAATTAAATAGTACATGATGAATGTAGCTGCCTTCTGCAACTACATGTTAAATTGCTATAGCACATTGATTAGCAATTATTAATATACTCTGAAGAATACATCTTACAATACAATTCAGTATTTTTTCATTAAAAAAAAATCAAAAAAACTTTGAAATAGTACACAAAATTATTTGGGTCTTAGCGAGTCGATTTGTTGGGTAAATTATTTCAAGGTAAAAAACTTGCGATCTTCCAAGATAGAAACATTGTTCTTCGGTTTAAAAATTGTTCATTCTTTCCACGTCGAAACAGTAAACGAAATTAATGTACCGATATTTTTGTTCCTCGAATAAGCTGACAAGGTTCCAAGGAACAATCGACAGTCGTCAGTTCGTAGACAGCGCGTTATGCTGTGGAATTCTTTTTTAATAAACAACCAACCAAAGTTGAAAATAATGACGAACAGAATTTGATTGTACAAAGAAAAGAGAAAGCAGAGAAATCTTTCATATGCAGATAGGTACGGGGACTTACACGATGTGCACATTTCCTGTCATTGACAAGACTAAGCTCTTAGGATGGGTAGTGCTCGAGCATATAAAGGGAACGCCGATTCTACGCCGCCGACTTAGTTCTTCGGAAAACTTACCGCAATGTGGTCCGACATCACGAAAAGCATTTTCTTTTTTCCGGTGATGTATTATTTTCTAATATTTCTTTTTTTATACGTAAATTAGTATTTCGTTCAAAATAGGGGTGCACTGACGAATAAAGATTATGTTTAGTGTATGTTGCCTGCATTTATGAAGCGAATAGTATTTTTTTGTTATACGACGAATCAATAGTCAATGAATTTTATTGAAAAACAATACATAAAAATCCAAAGTCTTTTAAATGAATTTTAAGGAACAGAAATTCAATAATCCTTCGTTCGATCGTTCGAGTAAGTTGAAGGAAAAATAACCGCATAAAATCCTCTGTCTAATTAATAATAAAGATATTTCGATTTATTTATAAAATGTTCTATAATGATTTATCTATTTTCATACGTCATTTTACAAAAATTCGATTTAAAGATAAATATCCTTCGTCGACTATAAAAGATCATTTGAAAAAGAAAATAAAAATACGGTAAATTCTCTCCGATTGTTTCTCGGCTTATAAACAAAAAAATTAAATTGTCAATTATTGTTTACAAGCTGAGGGACAATTGGACACAACCTTGACATAACCTCGACATTTGGAGAGAATTTACTTAAACCCCACTAATTAATTCGGCTAACGGCCGAATCGCCGTTATTTTTCGGATCGAAGATTTTCGATACGAAAGTTAAACGTTAAACGTTCGCCTAATTCAGCTCAGCCTCGCATGCTTGGCCAGCGGTATACTTACAACGCAAGTGCTTCGGGATTTTCAACCGGGGACGAGTTTGCAGTATCCGCCCCTCAGTTACCTCCCGACCACAAACATCGTACCCCCGAAACTTTCGCAGCATGCTGTTTTCGTTAATCAAGCTTTGGACAATGGCCTGGAAGACGTAGCAGCAGCACCAACTAGAGGATTCCTTGAAGGACAAACGCAAGGAGGACATTCGTACCTGAAACCGTTATCGATCGACCTCAAAGCACCTTTCAAAGGCCAGCAGATTAAATTAATCGCGGACAAGCAAAGGTACGAATTTACATCTTAAGTATTCCATTCAAAAAGTATGTCGAGCGTTCTATTCTTTCTCTCAATTGTTACTCCCTTCAAAGTATCATCCGTATATATGTATTATACGGTTATTCAGATTCTTTTTCCCGTAGACGGTGGGTCAAAAATGTATTTGCACGTTCAATTATTTTCGAGACTGCGGATTTCACGCTTAAAATGGCTGAATCGAGATGGGAAATGGTGAAATGATCATTCCTGACACCTTGTATAATTTTTTTTTCTGTGTACAATGATTGGAACCTGTGAAATAATAAGGAATTTTATATTTATCGTAGAACCGTTCCTATATTTGTTTAAATGTTAAGCCTACGTACACATCATTATTTACAGAAAATGTATTATTAAATTATATATAATTATATATNCCTTGACATAACCTCGACATTTGGAGAGAATTTACTTAAACCCCACTAATTAATTCGGCTAACGGCCGAATCGCCGTTATTTTTCGGATCGAAGATTTTCGATACGAAAGTTAAACGTTAAACGTTCGCCTAATTCAGCTCAGCCTCGCATGCTTGGCCAGCGGTATACTTACAACGCAAGTGCTTCGGGATTTTCAACCGGGGACGAGTTTGCAGTATCCGCCCCTCAGTTACCTCCCGACCACAAACATCGTACCCCCGAAACTTTCGCAGCATGCTGTTTTCGTTAATCAAGCTTTGGACAATGGCCTGGAAGACGTAGCAGCAGCACCAACTAGAGGATTCCTTGAAGGACAAACGCAAGGAGGACATTCGTACCTGAAACCGTTATCGATCGACCTCAAAGCACCTTTCAAAGGCCAGCAGATTAAATTAATCGCGGACAAGCAAAGGTACGAATTTACATCTTAAGTATTCCATTCAAAAAGTATGTCGAGCGTTCTATTCTTTCTCTCAATTGTTACTCCCTTCAAAGTATCATCCGTATATATGTATTATACGGTTATTCAGATTCTTTTTCCCGTAGACGGTGGGTCAAAAATGTATTTGCACGTTCAATTATTTTCGAGACTGCGGATTTCACGCTTAAAATGGCTGAATCGAGATGGGAAATGGTGAAATGATCATTCCTGACACCTTGTATAATTTTTTTTTCTGTGTACAATGATTGGAACCTGTGAAATAATAAGGAATTTTATATTTATCGTAGAACCGTTCCTATATTTGTTTAAATGTTAAGCCTACGTACACATCATTATTTACAATAAATGTATTATTAAATTATATATAATTATATATATATATATATATATATATATATATATATATATATATATACTATTATACATATAATTATATATATATATATATATATAATTATATATATATTATTATTGTATATAATTATATATAAAACATTGCTAAAAATGTAAGGGTCGCATAAGCCAATGGTTGAACGTCATGCGCACAGAACGCATCAAAATTTATAGTTTGATTAAAATATAAATAATAGTACAGGAAAGTCTGATACTAAAAGGTTTCTAAATTTCTTAATAAAATAATTTCAATCGTCTTAAAATATCAAATTTCATAGCGAAATACTCACCTAATCTCACGCGTGTGCAATGTTTAAAAAATGTTATACTTGTCAGCACTGCAGATAATAAATTTGCTAAAAGTAGATATACATATGTACACGCTATATGTACAGCTTTTGCTTGGTACGTGACTGTAGCGCTTCTTCGCGATTTATCCAACTTACGTTTCTGTTGGCCGGGTTGACGCCATTTAGGCGGGTTTCTTATTTTCAGCAATTTCTCTTACCGAACAAAACCAGAATTGTTCTACTTTTTGAATTCCGCCTTGTTTTAACGCTCGGACTCGGTAAAAATAGAACCGAGTATGATTACGATCACTTTCCATTTTATTTGTCAATAGTTCTCAATAAAGTTTCTAAGTTACTCCTTCGAGATGAAATAATTTTTATTAAAATTTATTAAAATTGGTACGCATTTGCAGCTTTCGACTGCAAATTATAGACTTCCGGTAAGAATAATAATAAATTCGATAATGCGTTAATGTTTAGAAACATTTTCCAAGATGGCGATCGCTCGCAACCAACGGTCAGGTTCGTATACGATACACGTCCTTATAAATTCAATTTAAATTTTTACGACGCTAAGCTATACGATGCCCCGCCTTAAATCAGCCACCGAAATTTATTCAGACCTCGCTCCATTTCTTTCATGTTTTCCATCGGCGCCGAAGCGTGCAATCTCGATGGACTTCAAATACATAACTTCAAATCCGTAATGGCGCCGAATTATTCATCTGTGAACTTCTCGAAGTCCGAAATCAAAATTATTCTGCTTATTAATTTAAATCGGGGCTTCTTCAATCCTTCGCGATTCAGATGCCATAAAAAGATCGACGATTTCAACGGAAACACCATCGAGATGCTATTCAAACATTTACGCGATAATTCTTCGGATTAATAGATTAATTTATATTTGAAAAAGAAAATAACTGTTCGATGACATTTATGAATCAACAAATTATTTGCAACGACATAGTTTGGAAAATCCTTTCGAGGCTGTTATTTCAAAGGAAATTATGCAGAGCTCGATCATTATAAATGTCTATAATCAAGCTTCCGCCAGCTAATGAGTGAAAAAATGTTCACTTTCTGAGGGTTAAGGTGACTAAGTTAGGTGACTCACCCTATAATAGTCACGCAACACTTTGCCCGCGATATCGGCAAAGGAATCAATTCAATGTACGAGATTTACAGAGCGACTGAAAGTGTGTTCGAAAATATCCTTGCACTTTTTATTCAATTACGAGACCGATCTTCTGTTTTCGGACACGTTTACCGCGTGTTTTTTATACAGTGAAAGTGTTCGAACCGGATTGAAAACGGCATAACTTCGTCAAAATTGGATCAAAAGACTCGAATATTTTTAAGATATTCAAAGGACTAGTCCACGAGACAATATGTAATAATTTTCTGAAAAAACACATTGTTTATCTCATGATAAAAATTCCAATCACTCGATCGAATCAGCAAACATTTCCTCCGCTTTGGGCGTTCGAGCACAAATCGTTCAAGTTTCCAACGCGTCTGCCTCGATCCGAATCACTCAGCGCGCTCTAAAATCCTCGTTTAAGCAAATAGAATGTAAAATAATTCCGCGAAACACATCCGCGACGCTTTCACGTGATGAACATCCCGCCCGAAGTTTCCCCGGCCGCGCTGCAGCTAATTACGAAAGTGCGCGTCCCGTCTAATTTCTCCTCGTAGGTCCCCGTGTTTCTGCATTTGATACGACACGTTTCACGGTTCAAGGTCGCCTAAGGAGACGCAACGGGGTCAGGGAACGCCGCCGGCGAGGATCCATCATGGATCGGGATCGGCCGGTGTGCCCGGGGCTCGGGCAGAGGTCGAACATCATCCCCAACCGCCCCGGCGGACGTCGTCGTATCAAGTCGTAGAAGAGCGCGATGAATACCGAACGGACAATCCGGATCATGCCCGATTGCCCTATCGTTCGAACGTTCCGACGTCGGAGCCCCATCGTAATTCGCAAGACATAACGGCGGCCATCAAAGCCCTCGATCACTTCCTGACCGGGGTTCTGAACGGCGACAGTTATAACAGCGGGCTACATCCACCGCCCAGTCCTGTTCTTGCCCTGGTCCTATCACGATACGGGCGATATGTGCTCGGGGCACGGAATCCACGGATCTATGCACACATGGCTGTCAACAACATACACAACAACAGACCTTTCGGTAGCTATAAGGTGGAGTCGGAGCAAGAGCCGAGTTATAGACGGAGGTAATGTCCCGGAGGTGTTCAATCGCGAGGACGCGTTCCCGCCGCCGTTTTCGATTCTGTTCGGTTAGCGTCGGGTGCAGAGATCGGCTGTTTCTCGATGATTTTAGGTGAGAAGAGTATTGTTGTAGGGACGAGGTCTTTTTGATTGATTCTATGCAATTGATAGTGGGAAAGAGGTGAGGTCTTCTTGAAGGACGTTGAACGAACGATATTGTTGCGGAGATGCGAGGTCTTTCTGAATAATTCTGTAGAAATAGTATTGGTAAAGAGATGAGAGCTTTCTGAATAATTTTGTGGAAACAATATTGGTAAAAAGGTGAGGATTTTGTACAAGCAATATTGTTATAGAGATGAGGTTTTTTGGATGATTTTATACAAACTATGCTGAAATAAAAATGAGGTCTTTCTGAATGATGTTGAACAAACAATATTGTTATAAACATGTGAGGTCATCCTGAATAATTTTGTACAAACAATATTGGTAAGGAGATGAGGTCTTTCCGAATAATTTTGTACATCAATATTGTTATAGAGATGAGGTTTTTCTGAATAATTTTATAAAAACTATACTGAAGTAAAAATGAGGTCTTTCTAAATGATGTTGAACAAAGAATATTGTTATAAACATGTGAGGTCGTTCTGAATAATTTTGTAGAAACAATGTTGGTAAGGAGATGAGGTCTTCCTGAATAATTTTGTACATCAATATTGTTATAGAGATGAGGTTTTTCTGAATGATTTTATGCAAATAATACTGAAGTAAAAATGAGGTCTTTCTGAATGATGTTGAACAAATAATATCGTTATAAACATGTGAGGTCTTTCTGAATAATTTTGTACAAACAATATTGGTAAAGAGATGAGGTCTTCCTGAATAATTTTGTACAAACAATATTGGTAAAGAGATGAGGTCTTCCTGAATAATTTTGTACAAACAATATTGGTAAAGAGATGAGGTCTTCCTGAATAATTTTGTACAAACAATATTGGTAAAGAGATGAGGTCTTCCTGAATAATTTTGTACAAACAATATTGGTAAAGAGATGAGGTCTTCCTGAATAATTTTGTACAAACAATATTGGTAAAGAGATGAGGTCTTCCTGAATAATTTTGTACAAACAATATTGGTAAAGAGATGAGGTCTTCCTGAATAATTTTGTACAAACAATATTGGTAAAGAGATGAGGTCTTCCTGAATAATTTTGTACAAACAATATTGGTAAAGAGATGAGGTCTTCCTGAATAATTTTGTACAAACAATATTGGTAAAGAGATGAGGTCTTCCTGAATAATTTTGTACAAACAATATTGGTAAAGAGATGAGGTCTTCCTGAATAATTTTGTACAAACAATATTGGTAAAGAGATGAGGTCTTCCTGAATAATTTTGTACAAACAATATTGGTAAAGAGATGAGGTCTTCCTGAATAATTTTGTACAAACAATATTGGTAAAGAGATGAGGTCTTCCTGAATAATTTTGTACAAACAATATTGGTAAAGAGATGAGGTCTTCCTGAATAATTTTGTACAAACAATATTGGTAAAGAGATGAGGTCTTCCTGAATAATTTTGTACAAACAATATTGGTAAAGAGATGAGGTCTTCCTGAATAATTTTGTACAAACAATATTGGTAAAGAGATGAGGTCTTCCTGAATAATTTTGTACAAACAATATTGGTAAAGAGATGAGGTCTTCCTGAATAATTTTGTACAAACAATATTGGTAAAGAGATGAGGTCTTTCCGAATAATTTTGTACATCAATATTGTTATAGAGATGAGGTTTTTCTGAATGATTTTATGCAAATAATACTGAAGTAAAAATGAGGTCTTTCTGAATGATGTAGAACAAATAATATTGTTATAAACATGTGAGGTCTTTCTGAATAATTTTGTAGAAACAATATTGGTAAGGAGATGAGGTCTTTCCGAATAATTTTGTACATCAATATTGTTATAGAGATGAGGTTTTTCTGAATGATTTTATACAAACAATACTGAAATAAAAATGAGGTCTTTCTAAATAATGTTGAACAAATACTAATGTTATAAACATGTGAGGTCTTCCTGAATAATTTTGTACAAACAATATTGATATACAGATGAGGTGTTTTCTAATAATTTCATACAACAACAAAATGAGTTATAGAGACATTTACCTTTTGAATAGCACCATACAGTAAATTCAGTTGTATAGCATACCAACTGCCGCAACAGTATCGACGGAAAACACATAAAATCGAAAGAAGTTATTTGACACGTTAGCTTCCACCTGCGCTCACACATACACATATGTGCGTGTTCGTGTGTGTGTATGATATGTGACATTGCGATTTAGTATCGCGCATAAAGATAGTCAAACTCGTTTTACGTACAACGTTATCAAAAGTCATAGCGTGTAACGTCCGCAAATCTTTTTCGTTAAATTGATGGAACAATTCGTAAACGAAGCGTATTGTTTTCAATAAAACAATGTAGCAACAAATGTTTGAACGACGTAATAGTAGAAACGATAATATTTGTCACAGTGATTGCTTTCGTAATATTTTTATAGCTTGCAGGTGTTAAAATAAAAGTTTGGCTTAATTAATCGTATCGTGAATTATATCGAGCTTCACTCAAAGCGATAATTATTCCTCTATTCGAGTGAAGCAGCTTTTAACACTTGATTTGTCACAGCCGGTACGTAGATCGGAATTTTATTCCGGGCAGCGGTTCGAATCGCGTTGAACGTGATCGTAAAATGCAGAATTTTCGGCTCGATTAATGCGATTCCCAAGCCCCGGCGGATGATCAACGTAATTCGAGAAGAAAGACGAGAGTTATTCATAAGAGGTGGATTTTATGATTTAAAGCAGTTTAATCCTCCTACGGCAAAAGCCGAGTCTTTCCGGCCGATAGTTTATGAGGCTCTGATTCATTGCTCGACACGCGGTACTTTAATCAACGTTTTTGTTTGACCGATTAGCCGGCGACCTTACGAAGCCGGATCCTAAGCGGCTGGACTAGTCGAGGCCATCGGGAACAACACTTTACTTTTAGGTTGTGCCACATTGCCTCCTCTCGACAAAACATGCGACCGCGACGCGTATCGCATGCCCAACAATTGTTCAATTGATTGCCGAGAATTTCTGATTCACGGCCGATGATGATGAGACTTGCCTGATCGATTCCACACGACGCCGGTAGCAATTTTATTCGCGAACTAATTATGCAACAAATTAGACAGCATCGAGTTAGCAACTCTCATTAACTAGAAATCTAATTATACTTCTTGGATTATTATTTTGGAAATGCAATTAAGTTCGCGTGTAGCACAGCACGTTGGACATTGTTTCGAGAAACTTCTGCTTGATGAAGCGGCGAGATGTAAAGTTCGTTTCACGATATTATGGTTTCTATAGCGAATTACGCGATGGAGGAATTGCTACTTCCGTTGTCAGCTATTTTATATATTTTATTTCGCATAAATAAAAGAAAAAGAAAAAGAGACTAATTAATCACCATGGACAGTTCATTTTCGGAGATGATCAAGAATACTGTGATCATGAGATATCGAATTACAAGTTCAAACATTGTCATGTAACAATTTCTGAATATTAATTTCTCAGATGTTTCGTGAAAATTAATACTCGATAAATCTATCGAGAAAGACTGAGAGAAATAAGATTATAAACGATCCCAAGCGTGGTTACAATATTTTTGTCGGATGGATCCGCTGTTGAAATACGAGATCCAATTATAAGGAAAGATGGACAACCGTGGATAACTATTACAGCCGAGTGTCCTATTGTCAGCAGATAAGAATGAAACCTGTATAGACAGCAAGCTTTTGTGCGGGACACTAAATCCCAGAAGGTATTTCACTCGATCATTCCCATTCGATAGTTAAATCACGATCTCGGCAATGAATCGGCCGAAAGATTGCCTGCCGTACGATGTTAAGACCGATCAATTACCCGGGGTGGCATTTCGGCTATCCTGATCGTAGAAAACTTTGCCGCGTTTCGTATCCTATTTTAAATTTAATCAATATCGTGCGGATTCACCCTTGAATCAAGGGCAATCGTTCTTGACGCGAAGTTAATTGAAGTTGTTCGAGAAGCCGCTCGAGATATCCCGATTAAGCACTAGCCTGCTCTCATTACATCATCCTATTTCGCTGGAAAGCTCTCCTCCTCTCTGGATACTGTATCAGCTTCCTTTCAATTCATTGTCGTACGAATCGGACGAAAGAATCTAATTGTACAGACCGTCGCAAAATTATCTGTGCCTTCGATCCGTTCACTATTGTTGGCGTAACCAACTTGTCACGAAATTCGCTTTGATCTCGAATATTCGTGATAAGAAATCGGAAACACCTTTTTTAGCTATATATATCAGCAATATTTAGCTATATATATTAGCTATATTTAGCTATATTTAGCTATATATATTAGCTATATTTAGCTGTATATATCAGCTATATTTAGCTATATTTAGCTATATATATATCAGCTATATTTAGCTATATTTAGCTATATATATTAGCTATATTTAGCTATATTTAGCTATATATATTAGCTATATTTAGCTATATTTAGTTATATATATTAGCTATATTTAGCTGTATATACCAGCTATATTTAGCTATATATATTAGCTATATTTAGCTGTATATATCAGCTATATTTAGCTATATTTAGCTATATATATATCAGCTATATTTAGCTATATTTAGCTATATATATTAGCTATATTTAGCTATATATATTAGCTATATATATTAGCTATATATATATATTAGCTATATATATCAGCTTTATTTAGCTATATATATCAGCTATATTTAGCTATATATATCAGCTATATTTAGCTATATATATATCAGCTATATTTAGCTATATACATTAGCTATATTTAGCTATATATATTAGCTATATTTAGCT